GCTTAGTAGGCCTCCTCTTCTTGCTACTGCGCCACAGATCCACAACTTTCCCCCATTCCATGTCGTAATCAGTTAGGCTCAGGCACATCAAGTCACTGAGCCTAGCATCACAGAGGCTGGTCTTCTGCCAGGACTTAATCACGTTCTGGCGGCTAAAGCCGCGCTCACACTCGACGGTGCTGAGCGGCAGGACAGCCACCGCTGTCCAGAGGCGGACGAGGTTGGGGTAGCTCCGCTCCCAGTCCTTCGTTCGCAGCATGGTTGCCAGTCCTCGTTGAAATGTGCGCTCGCCTTTGGGAGCGCCAGCCAGAACAAGGACAAATGTCCTTAGTTCCCTCTTGGCGGCACGCTTGTCCACACCTGCCTCGCATTACACACATAACAGTGACAGAAGAGCCTGTGATTCTGGTTATACAGAGTGCTACCCGCTCCCTTGGGCAGCCTGTGATTCTGGTTATACACAGTGCTGCCCGCTCCCTTGGGAAACCTGTGATTCTGGTTATACACAGTGCTGTCCGCTCCCTTGGGCAGCCTGTGATTCTGGTTATACACAGTGCTGCCCGCTCCCTTGGGCAGCCTGTGATTCTGGTTATACACAAGGGCAACCTGCTCCCATGGGACGGAGCATGAAATTTCCTGGTTAGGGACAGAACAGGGACAGAACACGGAGTCCAGCAGGTTAAACACAAAGCAGGGGCAGACCAAGTAAAAGCGCTGGATGTACACAAAGCAAGGACACAACTTGGCAGAATGGGTAAGAAAATCTACTTGTGCTTACCCGGGAGGATGTCTGCTCGCTCGCGGGCATGGAACAAGTTGACGAGAGTCTCGAAGTGCTCGCGACACTCCTTTGCGCGTCCCTCCTTGTCTTCACGGTATGTGTCTGGCATAAAAGGCCGGACACCGTTCAAGCTTTCGAGGTGCCCCAGCCTCTTCTGGAGGTGGGTGAGCGTCGAATTGGCATGGCGGCGGCATACGTCGAGGCACGACTGCAGGTCATCAGCTGTCAATGGCTCCTCGTGCAGCTCAATGGCTGTGTTGTCGCTTCTCCCCCTCCTTGTCCACACCTGCCACTGTGATTTTCGGAGACTTACTGAGCCTGGCTAGGAAGGCCTCGAGGTGTAGCTGTGGGCCGCCACCGAAGTCATCGCCGCACTCGATGTAGCGCGTTCGGATGGTGATCAGGGCGCGGCGCACGGTCGACTGCACCGATGTCATGTCGACCTGTAACATGACAAGGTACAGATTTTACAAGGACCGTACAACGAGCACAGTCAATGGTCTTCGGCTTACAAAGGCTACTCACCTCCCGCCTCTGAAACTCCAGGTTGAGGGTGTTGAGGATGTTGAGCATGTCCGTGAGGTAGTAACGGTACACATTGAACTTCACTGAAGTCACAATGTGGTACCAGTCGTCGTCCCACTCCCACAGGAGCACGATGACGGCAGGGAGAACATGCACCAAGCGCGTGATGGCATCGCCGAGGCTCAGCCAACGAACTGAGTGAATTCCCTTCAGTTCAAGGTTTGTTTTGCAGAACACCTCCTGCAGCTCCTGGAACTCATTGTGAGAGGGATGCGACCTCCCTAGGTATTCCGCAAGTTCCTTCAGGACGTAGTCGATTAGGCCCAGCTCAGGGACTGCAGTGGCGGCGTCCTTGGCTGCCAGGGCCTCTCTGCACGACACGGTGTGGGCACGAGTGAAGGGGAGGTTTGGTTTACGGAGGGAGGAGTTGCATCGACTATTTATACGGGCCATTGCTGTCCGTCCACGAGGAGAATATGAAGTAGATCAACGTCAAGTCTGGAGCGGGGAGGGAGGGAGGGGGGGGGGGGGGGGGGGGGGACAGGAAAGTAGGGGGGATACAGTAAGGGTGGGGAATGGCCTGAGCAGTAGATCATATGAGCGCCTGCCTGCCTTCCACTTTCTGCGCAACGTGATGGGTAGGTATAAACAACACCCGCATGCAATCAATATTACTCACCGATGTGCAACGCAATGGCTGGAGAAGAGGTGCGGGACCATTACACGCAGCCGAGCCACCAGGCCGTTTGTGCTACCCATCATCGCACCCGCGCCATCCGTGCTAATCCCAGCCACCCTGCTCATGTCGATTCCAAGAGAGTCAAGTAGGGTCAGCAACAAGGAAAGCAACGAAGCGCCATCGCATTTCTCCACCGTCAGTAGACCAATGAACTCAGTGACTACACGAGAGTCACGGAGAAACGTGGCAAACACAGTCTGGTGTTTGCCATGCACACGATCTGTACTCTCGTCACAGGTAACTCCGATGAATGGACTAGACTGCAACCAGACTTGCTGACGAGCACGGAGATATGCTGCAGTGCTTGCGATGAGCTCGGCAAACCCGTATCTGCATCAAACGGAACAAGGTACTCTAGCAGAGGGTTAGTAATAGTGATCAGGTTGTGCACAACCTCCATACAAAGGTTCTCGGGTATAGCAGCATTTGTTGATCAACGGCTCACCTGGTGTAATAAGCACCGTAGCCATTCTTCGGGAAGCTAGGTGTCTGTCGCTCTGCAAGGTGCCGAACTAATTGAACCCACATCTCAATCGGTGCGTCACATTTGCAAATGAACAGCAGGGTCTCCAGCAGAGCGATGACCCTTACGCGCTGGATGTCTCCGGCCTTTCGACAGTCGACGATGCGCTGCTGCTTCTCAGCCGCCTGCTCCGCCAGGGCATGTCTCTTGACGGACCGTTTGTGCTTCCTAGAGCTTTGATGCGTGCGGAACGCCTAGGTTTGGACGTCGACGGCTCCTTCGCCAGCAGCGCCGTAGTTTGTGCCGTGTCCTGCGTGCTTGATACACAAATTGCACCTCTCTGATGGGAAACCGAAGGAAGTTTGACAAAGCACGAGCCACGGGAAACCAGTTGACCATCCCCGTTTGTACTTCATAAGCGCCTCCTGGTATTTATCCTCTGCCTCATCGCGCAGTTCCTCCGTCGATGAAGATGCAGCAGGAACGGCCGATGGTCCTGGTACAGCTGGTTCTAAGCGGATACGTACGGTGGGTTCCGTAGGACTCTCGCGAGAGAACGACAAGCGCGAATGTTTGTGCTTGGTAGCTCTTAATTTAGCACTAGGGGCAGGGCCGATGCGTGTCATACCAGGTGGCACGACGTTTGTGCTGTTCGTACTAGCCCGGGCGGGTGTGACTGCGGGAGTTCGAGATGAACCAGCTGCAGGTGAGGCCGTTGGTAACGTGGACACCGCTCGAACAGGACGCAAGAAATCTAAGCCGGTAAGACCTCGTGATACTGGCGTCGCGCCATCGTTCTCGTTGGCCATGACTAGTACGACTGAGCCAGCCGAGCTTCACTTGTGCTACTCAAACAGCAACACAGGAAGAGTGTTGGTTGGGTTGGATGGAGGAGTGCTCAGAGAGACACCCAGCTAGTGCATGCATGGCACACGACGAGTTGCCTTGCCCAACATGTTCCCCCTAGTCTGATGGGTTTGTCTTGGCTGGTGCGTTGCGGGGGATCGGAACAGAACTCTCAAAGAGATCGTGCGAAGGCGGGAAACATACACGGGGGAAAAAATCACCGGAGACGAAAGTCCCCGGAATCGAACCCCCCCCCTGACGCTACAGGGGGAACACTACGGCCATCCTGAGAGTTCAGGGCATTGCATATAAAAACATCCTGGGACCTCAGGGTGAAAATTGGCACTATTATGAAATGACAGGGTAAATTCAAAACTGCATCCTGAATTCAGGGTACCGTCACCCCCCGGATAAGCCCCCATGGGGGGATATAATAAAACATGTTTTGTAGGGGGGTGGGCTTATAGTCGAGGATTTTTATAAGCGCCGGGGCTTATATAATGACATATATGAAATCTAGTTGTTTTCACTCCAAAGTGTTCATCTTGTCATTGCGATTTCAATCGAGTCAAGATCATAGAGGGTGTGAACAAGAATCTCGCGTAAGTTTGCAAGCTGCCAACACACATAGTCATAATGAGTCATTTCGCCCCATGACAGCTCTTTCTGACTGGACGCGCAGTCAGTGAGTCGCGCGAGGGTGAGGCAGTAAGTCGCGCAAGGGTGAAGTGTCGAAATTTCTCAATGTCATGATGCAAATAGTGTGTTTCCCTACAGAGATTCCATTAACTTAATAAAAACTAATACAAATGGTGGCTCTTTTAATCCGTAAGCCATTCAAGTATGCACTTATAATCGAGGAGGGGATATAGGCGCCATACGCCAATTACAAGCGCCAGGCGCTTATCCCAGGGTGGCGCTTATATCCGGGGGTTGACGGGATGTTTTGCCCTGATAACGTGGGCCCTGCTCTGCATTCCATATGCAATTAATCAGCAACATGCAGAGCTCCTCGTCGTATGCAGTGATGATGACAGCAGCATTACCCAGCAAAGCAATGCTGCATCATTTGATCATCTCACACACTTAGCTAGGATACCACTGTTGTCCAAAGTCCATGGCTCTGATTCTCCGACCACTGCTGCTGGTGACGATGCTGCAGATGATGTTAAGAGCATCTCACAACTACCAGTCCTCTTCCCCAAAGTCCATGGCTCTGATTCTCCTACCCCCTCTCGACCGCCCCCCACCAGCCATTGCTGACGACAACACTGACCCATCCTCCACGCCCCCAAGCCCAGGTGGCAGCGGCGGGGGAGAGGACGGGCGGTGGTGCTGCAATGTGCTGAAGCGGGGAGAAAACAGGGCAGAAGGACTCATATCACCAGCACCACCACCAGCAACAGCAGCAGCAGCACCACTGGCAGCTGCGGCAGCGGCAGCAGCAGCGGAGGAAGGGCTAAGGTCAGAGTCAGCCGCGAGGGCAGTGAGGGGTTGTCGCTCCGAGGCTGTGGTGGGGCCGTGGGAGTGGATCGTGGCAAACTCCTGCCAGTGCAGATGCTGCTCCGTCTGCCTCCACTTGTGCATGGCATAGAGCGTCCACACCGCCATGGGGAGAACCGCAATGGTGATGATGACAGCTAGGATCAGGAGATCTGCGGGATAGAGGGGCAGGGGTTTTTACAGAGAGGGAAGTGGTTTACAGAGAGGGTAAGGGATGGTCGATCAGAGTCAAGAGCAACAGCGTGAAGAGCAGTGAGGGTTTGTGTTTCGGAGGCTGTGGTGGAGCCGTGGGAGTGGATGGTGGCAAACTCCTGCCAGTGCAGATGCTTCACCGTCTGCCTCCACTTGTGCATGATGTAAAACGTCCAGACAGCCATTCGAAGGACCGCAATGGTGATGATGACGGTCAGGATCAGCAGGTCTGGGGGAAGGGGGGGAGGGGATAAAGGAGATGGCAAGCACTGGCTGGGTAAAGCAAGGTCCTGCCAGGGCTGGTGCTGCTCCGTTTGCCTCCACTTGTGCATGGCATAGAGCGCCCACACTGCCATGGGGAGCACAGCAATGGTGACAATGACAGCAAGGAGCAGGTGGGGGGCAAGGAGGGGAGAAGGGAGGAAGGGGGGTAAGGAGAGGCCAAGGGTGGATTGATAAGGCAAGCTCCTGGCCTGGCCATGGGGATGGAAGGGCTGGTGTTCAATAGAACACCATGTAGGTGCCAAGGTTCGATACGAGGTAGCAACTGTTTGTAAAGAATACCTTGAGATTGGTTTGTTCGAGTGCTTGTCTGAAAAATCATGTGTGAAAAAAACGACGGTAACCGGATTCGGCATATGAGCCTTCTTCAGACCACAAACAGTCATAAATGAGAACGAGCACTACTTATGCTGGAAAGCCCTCGCGGAGGAATTGGGGACAAAGGAAATGTGAAATATGAGCGAAAAGAAAAAAATACTGTACCCTAACACTTGTTTGCAGAAATTAGATTATAGCTTCATGCAATAATAGCCCTCCTTGTGGAAAATGTGTCGTGTGCCATTGTGACGAGGTCACATTTGAGTCGACTAAAAAACACCTCCCCTAACATTATCATGTTTCTCCTCCAGTGTGCGTGTGAACACCGTAACGATTTTCGAGCTGTTCTTCTTGAGGTGTGATGGCATTCAACTCACTCTCAGCCAATAAACCGACAACCTTGGTAAGACGGTGCTTACATTCTTCATGACGTTCCTCGGCGTGCGGGTCGCGGAAACGCCGACAGGACGCAAGGAAGCTGGCGGAGGAGATGCTGTACCTCTTCACCTCGGCGCGCAGCAAGGCCAGCGTTACCAGAGTGCTGTTGGTGGTAGCCACCCCGCTCCCGTTCCGCTCCCAGTGTTATGCCCGCTCCGTCGTTTGAGGTGTTTTTATGATCGATTGATTTACTCACAGGTGCTCATTGCGCTGCCCGCCAACTTCGATCTGTCGAGTATTTCGTCACGATCGTCCGTAAGTTCTTGCTCGGTCGACTAGAGGACCGCACTGCTGCCATCAGCGTGTGCGTTGCCAATACTCTCAAGAGAGTGGGCTCGTTTGAGTTGTTGGCGGAGTCGACGTCGAGACAACCACGAAGCTGTTTTGAAACATGTTGAAGAGAGACACGAGCTAGGTAAGCTTCGTCCAAATCGTTTGTTCCACTGCGGACGCTTTTCGCATCGTGTGCTGAAAGCTACAACCGTGCGCAACCACATACGATTTGGACGAAGCATATAGAGCTCGTATCTCTCTTAAACATGTTTTGAAACAAATTCGGGTCATCTCCACGTCGACTCCGCTTCCCCCTACAAAGGAACCACTCTCTTGAAAACCTTGGCAGCACACATGCGGATAGCAGCAGCGCGGTCCCCTAGTTGGCCGAGTAAGAACTTACTAATGGTCGCGACGAAGTCCTCGACAAATCGAAGTTGGCGGGCAACGCAATGAGCACATGTGAGTAAATCAAGCGTTTAGAACAACACTATAAACGACGGAGAGAGCATAACGCCGGAAGTGGAACGGGAGCAGGGTGACTACCTTCGACAACACTCTGGTAACGCTGGCCTTGCTGCGCGCCAAGGTGAAAATGCACAATATCTCCTCCACCAGCTTCCTTGCGTCTTCGTGTCCTGTCGGCGTTTCTGCAACCAGCATGTGAAGAGCGTTATGAAGAATGTGAACACCGACTTACCAGTGCTGCCGGCTTTCTGGCTGAGAGCAGGTTGAACAGCACCAATGATGACCTTAAGAAGAATAGCCCGAAAATCGTTTTGGTGTTCACAGGCACACTGGAGGAGCGGTGTATTTTTAGGAAGTGACTACTGAGTAAACTCAAAAGGAGCAGCACGGCAATGGTGGTGACAACGACAGCAAGGAACAAGAGGTCCGGGTGGGAGGGTGAGGAAGGGGGGCAAGGAGAGGCCAAGGGATGGATGGATAAGGCAAGCTCCTGGCCATGGCTGTCAGTCCAGGCCTGGCCATGGGGATGGAAGGGCTGGTGTTGCAGCGCTCCCCATGCTTCTAATCCTCGAAGCAACCATTCCTCCCCCACTCACCTGCTAGGCCTCGTTTTCTTGGTGTGGCCACCAACGCACCCAGCACTCCCGATGCTGCTGCCAGGCAGTCCCGAGACCCTGAGGTGAGTTTTACAGATGGGATGGGGAGGGGAGGGGGAGGAGGGGGAGTTTGAGTGAGCTAAGGGCAGAGGGGTGGGAGTAGGGCGGCCAACACCAACACAGCCAGCACTTCCGATGCTCCTCCCAGGCAGTCCTGAGACCCTGTTGAGTGTTTTGTGGTGGGGGGAGAGGGCCACGCCATGGTTTGAGCGAGTTAAGGTTGTAGCAAGAAAGCACGGCAATCAACACGCCCAGCACTCCCGATGCTACTGCCAGGCTGTCCTGAGACCCTTGGGAGTGTTTTGTGGTGGGGGGAGAGGGGCACGGTCTGAGCGAGTTAAGGTTGGAGCGAGGACATATTTATGCGGATTCTGGGTTTAAGGTTTATGGGGTTTCTAGATGAAATACATACGGATGTATTTAAGGGCGGTGGCGGGGAAGTCAGAGAAGAGACCATCCACTCCCACCGCCTCCACAAACATGGCATACTCGTTCAGAGGGTCCTGAGGGGAGAGAGGAGAGGAGAGATGGGATGACACCAGGGGAGAGAAATGGGATAAAGGGAGGAAAGGGAGTGTCCATCCACAAACATGGCATACTCGTTCAGAGGGTCCTGAGGGGAGAGAGGAGAGGAGAGGAGAGATGGGATGACACCAGGGGAGAGAAATGGGATAAAGGGAGGAAAGGGAGTGTCCATCCACAAACATGGCATACTCGTTCAGAGGGTCCTGAGGGGAGAGAGGGGTCAATGCGAATAGGGGTGGCGAAGAGAGATGAGACCAGTGGAAGGAAGGAGAGACGAGGGGAGGCGGATGTAAGGGGTAGAGACGAGGCAATTCACTCCCACCACCTCAGCAAACATGGCTTACTCGTTTAGAGGGTCCTGAGGAGAGAGAGGGATGGAGGGACGAGATGAAACGACTGGAAAAAATGGAATGAAAGGAGAGAGAAGCAGGAGCACTCAGGGACGAGCTCATGGGCTAGAAAGAGAGAGACGGTGCACTCACGAGCTCGTAACTGAGGGAGAGGAAGATCCAGTCGTTGGCAAAGGGCCAGGGCAGCACAGCCAGCTGGCGGGCTGGGTGGTGGGCGAGGGAGACGAGGTCGGTCTGGTTGAGCAGCTTCTTGTGCCACGACTCCACCGGCAGCACCAGATGCTTCTCTGGTGCGATGGCCACTGCATAGAGTGATATGGCGTCCAGCATGCAGGCTCGAAGAGGGGTGGTGGGCGGGCAGGAGGGAGGAGGGGCCTGCAGAATGCGGTTAGTGTCCGATGGCTGGGGGATGGGGAAAAAGGGAAGAGGGAAGCGGGAAAGGGGAGCATCGGATGGTTTGTGGGGAATTGTTCAAGTTCAAGAGGAACAGGACAGGGTCTGGTTGAGCAGCTTCTTGTGCCACGACTCCACTGGCAGCACCAGATGCTTCTCCGGTGCGACGGCCACGGCATAGAGTGAAATGGCGTCCAGCATGCAGGCTCGCAGGGGGGTGGTGGGCGGGCATGAAGGGAGGAGGCCTGTAGGATGGGGTTGGTGTCGGATGGCTGGTGCGGGAGAGGAGGGGGGAGGACACGGGGGTGGGAGGGACGGGGGAAAGGGGTTGGTAGACGCTTCTTGTGCCATGCCTCCACTGGCAGCACCAGATGCTTCTCTGGTGCGATGCCCATGGCGTGGAGAGAGATAACATCGAGCATGCAGGCTGCGAGGGATACGGTAGGAGGGCAGGCGGGAGGAGGGGCCTGCAGGATGGGGTTGGTGTCAGATGGCTGGGGGGTGGGAGGGACTGGGGAAGAGGTAAATACGGACCAGAAAAAAAAAAAAAAAAAAAAAAAAGAAGAAAAAGAAGAAGAAGAAGAAAAAAAAACATAAAAAAAACAACCGTATGAAACGAACCCTAAACCATATGAAACGAACCGTAGTCTTGACCCTTGAGTGGGAGAGTTTAGAGAGTACAGAAAGGGGTCTGGCCCAGTTCAGCAGGTGCTTGTGCCCACGATTTCAAGGGAGGCTTCCTTTTATGAGCAAAAAAATGCACCCCTCCTTGCCCCATCCCACCCCTCCTCACCCTATCCCATCCATTCTCACCTCGTCCCATCCCGCCTCCAGGATCTGCACGAGGGGAATGGAGGTGCGTTGGCTGCAGTAGACGAGAGCAGCAGAGCTCCTCGCCTCTATCACCACCGGCTGCACTGCTGGGTCAAGCACAATCCGCCCCCCGGCTGTAGCAGCACCAGCTGTGGGAGCATTGTCAGTAGAAATGGTGGTGGTGCTGATGCTAGCAAGGCGGTCACTAAGAGAGGCAGTGGGGGAGGAGGAAGAAGTGAGGGTGTTGAAGGGGTTGGAAGGGCGCGGAGGTGGCTGCAGGTTGTTCACGCTGAGGAGAGTCAGGAGCGACTCGAGTAGCGGGCACCCGATGGACTCATGGAATTCAGGGTACTGCGAAATATTGGGGTTGGGGAAGGAAAGGGAAGGGGTGAGGGTGTTGAAGGGGTTGGAAGGGTGGGGAGGTCACTGCAGGCTGTTAACGCTGAGGAGAGTGAGGAGTGACCTGAGAAGCGGGCACCCAATGGACTCGTGGAATTCAGGGTACTGAGTGTGGGTTCCAGGGGCAAGGACAGAAAGGGAGGATAGAGTAAGAATTGAGTATCGAGTGTTGATTCTCGAGTCAATTTAAGAGGGACGTGACAGCACCCTTCTTTCATCTCCTCCCTTAACTCTTCCCTTCCCTCCTCCTTCCATTCCCCACTCCCCAGCACTCACTCTCGGTTCCAGCATCAGCCCCACGGGTCGGTTGCCTCTAGCAGCGAGCAGCTCGGGGTTTTGATTGGAGGAGAGCACGAGGGCGAGCACATGAGAGAGCGTGGGGATGGATAACCGGCCGTGAAGGGTCTTGTCCCGCCACTGGTATCGCTGCTCCACTGCTCTGCAGGGAAGGGAGGAGAGGGAGGGAGGAGGGGAGAATCATGTGTACTTGCAAGTTCGTGCAGACATGTGAATTGGTGGATGTGCCATGACTGAGTCTTTTCCCGCCACAGGTATCGCTGCTCCACTGCTCTGCAGGGAAGGGAGGGGATGGAGAGAGGAGAGGTAAATCATGTGTACAAAGAAAGACCTGTGTATTGGTGGATCTCTTTCAACAGATGTGCCCAAACCACAAGTCCGTACCCAAAACACCACTACGTGCCAAATCCACCTCTGAGAATCTGGAGCTGCTCAAACGTGAAGTTGAAGGCGAAAAAGCCCTTCACCTCCTGCCCCTCTGACCGCCATTGACTTAATTTGACTCAGCGGTGGTGCCAAACCCACCACCAAACAGCTCTGAGCCAATCCCACCACCAAACAGCTCTGTGCCAATCCCACCTCTGAGAATCTGGATCTGTTCGAACATGAAGTTGAATGCGAAGAATCCTTCCACCTCCTGCCCCTCAATGTCCGCCGTTGACTTGAGTTGACTCAGCTCCGGGTGGTGCCAACCCACTTCTCCGGACACAAAAAAACGCCACTGTGTGTCAAACCCACCTCTGAGAATCTGGATCTGCTCGAACGTGAAGTTGAATGCGAAGAATCCCTCCACCTCCTGCCCCTCTATGACCGCCGTTGACTTGAGTTGACTCAGCTCCGGGTGGTGTGCCACGTTCGTCACGAGCGTCAAATCCAAGTCGTTCCAGCAGATGAGCTCCAAGTCTGCCGTGCTGGTCAGCAAATGATGGGAGGAGACGGGGGAGGAAGGGGAGGATGAGGGTATGCGACCAGGGAGACGAGGAGATGGGATGGGAGTTGGCAAGAAGAGGGGGAGCTCTGGGTGGTGCACAACATGTGTCACCACCGGCGTCGCCAGGACCAGTCCAGGTCCTGCCAGCAGATCAGCTCAAAGTGTGCTGTGCTGGTCCGCAAAACTGGGAGGGAAGGCGGGAAGGAGGGAAGGAGGGGAGGGAAGAAGATAATGAGTGAACAAGGAGACGGATTTCTGTAAGACCCTTGGGGGGTTTGCTACGTTAGCCACTAGCGTCTGACTCATAATTCGCTCCTTCGGCTATGCCCCTCTCGTATCCCTCTAAGGTGCTCTGCTCTCACGCATGAGCCATCAAATATCTGCAGAGGAAGACGCACCCCGCTATAGTCACATCCCAGCTCATCAGATGACGTTGCATTCTACATTGTCCGCTCCATCAGCGATGGCCCTTTCGTACCCCTCCAAGGTACTTGCAGGCATGGACCATCATAGTCACCCCTCCAACTCACCAGATGACGTTGCATTCCACATAGTCCGCTCCATCCGCAATGGCCCTCGCATATCCCTCCAACGTGCTTTCAGGCATGAGCCATCTTGCATATGAAGACATACAATACATACCCACTGTAGTCACATCACACCCCCTCTCACCAGATGACATTGCATTCCACGTAGTTCGCTCCATCGGCTATGGCCGTCTCGTATCCCTCCAACGTGCTCTCAGGCATGGACCATAACAATTGTGCAGATGAAGACATGTTCCAGAACAGTCACATCACACCCCCTCTCACCAGATGACGTTGCATTCCACATAGTCCGCTCCATCCGCAATGGCCCTCGCATATCCCTCCAACGTGCTTTCTGGCATGGGCCCCATGGCACCCCTCCTGCCGATCACAATGGGGCGACTGGACGCTGCAAGAGTGTGGAGGGGGGGGAGTGGGGAGGGCGGGGAGAGGGGGTGCGGGTGGGTGGGGGTGGGTGGGGGTGGGGTGATCTCAGGCATGGGCCCCATGGCGCCCCTCCTGCCGATCATGATGGGACGACTGGACGCTGCAAGGGAGGGAGGCGGAAGGGGTGGGTTGGGGGGTAGGAGAGGAAGTGGGGGGAGAGGGAGAGGGGGATTGTGAGGGGAGATGAAGAAGTAGGCGAAGAGTCTGGATACGGCTTTGTACCACTTGCATGCCCACACGCTCCGTTATGTAACCAGGCATGCACAGAAACTCGATACTTGGCCACGGACACGCACGCATTAATGCTGACTTTTGAGGCGACTCGACTTTTGAGTCGACTTGACTTTTGAATCGACTCAAAAGTCAACTCGATATGTAACCAGGCATGCACAGAAACTCGATCCTTGGCCACGAGCACGGACGAATGCAGTCACGCTCACAACTTTGCCCTAAAACACGGTCTAAGCAGGACTAACATGCGGTGCGAGCAGCACCAGCTCAAATTTGCGGTCCGAGCAGACCTAACTCGCGGTCAACGCAGCATAGCATGAAGTCCAAGCGACACTAAGTTGAAATCCGAGCAGCACTGCGGTCCGAAGAGCACTGCCGACGCGAACTCGTACCTGACACTCTTTCTCCGCCATGTGACAGCGCGAGCATTTGGTCAGTGCGAGCAAGTGTTAAGGCGTCTCACAGCTCGTACCTGACGCTCTTTCTCCGCCGCGCGACAGCGCGAGCAGCAGCAGAGGCAGAAGCGACAGTCGCACGGGCGAAGAGCGGCCCATCGCGAACGATCGCTGCGATGTTAACCAATCCCTAACCAAATACAGGCATGGTAACGGAAACCGAATCGCCTCTTTCGGCTGACCAAATAACTTGCTCCTCTCCGTAACACTATATCATACTGCCTAGTGGCACCTCTTGCTATACGCTAAGGTGAAAATACTGTCGAGACGGAGTGGATAAGCCCAGCAGAAGCCCGTCCTCAAGAGCTAATTATTCAAAACTTCTTGCTAAGGCTCCCATGCACGCCGTAAGAAACTAGGCTGAACGGAACTGATGCTGAATGGACCGGTTGTGAACAGAGAATACGGGCTACGGAGTAGTCGGCTGAACCATGGCAGAGCTCGGGTGTGATCATATCTCAGTTGCTGCTGTTACCTGGCATTTTCATCCCACCAATATGTCAGACAGCCTAGAAGCCAGATGGTCGTTTTCAGGGAGTGCCTGGAGAGCAGCGGAGAAGCGGGACCATCCACAAAACGTAGCACAAGGTAGGTGTGTGGAGGCTGGTGGTGGTGACCTGTTTGTCAGGCACGAAAACCTTTTGTCAGAGACCTCGTGGAAGCGCGTCACGCCCGATAACAAACGGAAGCAGCCAATCATGATGCACCGTAAGCGAACTTCGTTTCAGCTGTTGACGAACGTCGCCACTGGAAATGACCATGGTTACCGGCTTAGATTCGGTAACTCCTGACCGGTAAGCGAAATGACCATGGCTGCCAGCCCACTGATTCACTTCCCTCCTACCCTCCTTCCTCCACCCTCCTCTCCATCAACTTCAAAACACTCTAGACCTCTATTTCACCCCACTCCACTCCTTTATTCCACTGCACTTCACTCCGCCCCTCTCCATTCCACTCCACCTGCCACAGCTCGATTTCTCTTTCCTGCGGCAACGACTGTTGCAACACCCCAACACTCATGCTGTTCTGGTGGGGTGGATCACAGCTCAACCAGTGCAAGCTCGGGACTCCGACCCGTTTCGAATTTCGATCCCGTCACCGCTGCTCGATCTCATCCCCAATGGCGGCTTCCGCTCCTCCCGCGCGCTCCCCTTTTTTTTCCGCAGTCGACAGTTCCCACTCCGCTGGCTCTCCGCGACGTGCCGCTTTCACAACAACACATATCGCATCGCGTCGTGACACCTTTGAATATACCAGAGCGCCTCTTGGTGATGCTAATCAGTCAGACATAATAAAGCGCAGAGCTCAAAGAAGAACGATCCGCGCTGTGCGCAACGAAAACGGCGGAGGAAACAGACGCACAAATGGGGGGGAAGGCGGATGCGGGATCAGCAGAAGCGGAACAAGCGAATCGGGGAATGGGGGAGGATTTATGGGGCGGAAAGGAGATTCTCGAGGGGGTGGGGAGAGGGGAGAGAATGTTGGAGGCGAGGAGGGCAACAGCGGGTCCGGGGGATCAGGGGGAGGCAGCGGTTCCGGCGGACGTGGTTCAAGCGGAGGAGGGGAGGAGGGCGGAGGCAAAGGCGGGGGGGACGCAAATCCGATAACCACCGGCGCGCTTCTCCCGCTCGTCGACCGTTTCCAGGCGCATGTGAACCGCGCGTGGCAATTCCGCGCTTCCCCCGTTGCCTCCGCGCTTCTGCAGTCCGCCGCGCGCCTTCCGCCGTTGCTCCGCACGTCCGCGACGTCAGGCGCGCTGCTGGCGGGCGGGGACGTGTGCGCGCAGTGCATCGAGCTCTCCTCAGCTGGAGACGCAGCGCGGATCCGCGACACGTGTGGAGAAGCAGCGCAGCCAAGCGACACGTGCGGTGACAAAGCTAATACCCTCAGCTACAGCAGCAGCGGCATATCAAGGGACGGCTCTGGCAACGCGACAGCAGGACCAGCACCAACATTCAACGTGGCGAGATCCTTGCGAATGATGGTGTACGGCGCGTGCATATACGGCCCTGCGCTGCACGTGTGGTACCCCCTGGTGGAGAGGGTAGCGCCAGGGAGAAGCCTGGGCGCCACTGTGGGGAAGGTGCTGGCATCTCAGGCTCTGCTGAATCCGTGCCTGATTGCTGCCGTGTTTGCATTTAACTACGTGTGGACAGGACAGCTGCATGCATTGAAAGGTGCGTCACGTGTTGTCAGGCTTCTCGAAACTCGCTGCTGCTGTGTCTGCGATTCACTATGCATTCATGGGTCAGCTGCATGCACTCAAAGGTGCGTCACGTTTTATCAGTCTCCTCCAATATTGCTGCTGCTGTGTTTGTGTTCCAACACACATGCACTGGCCAGCTTCATGCACTTCGTAACAAGAAAGGCTGCCGATTTGGCTCCCCTCCCATCTTCCTCCCCTTCCCCTCCTCACCCGCCTCCCATCCTCCCCGTTTCTCCTGCACTTTCTTTTACATTTGCTTTTCCGTCCCGCATAACGTATCCATGCCCAATCCCCCTCTCATGTCTCTTCTCGCCCATGCTCTTCACCCTGTCTCCCGAACCTGAATCTCAAACTGTTCTTTCTCCTGCAGACAAGTACCGGCGGGACTTCCTGCGGACATGGCGGCGCGGGTGGCACTTCTGGCTGCCGGCCAGCTTCACATCGTTCCGCCTGGTGCCGCTGCACCTGCGCCCCGCCTTCTCCTCCGCCTGCTCGCTGCTCTGGAACTGCCACCTTTCCATGGTCACCATGCACCAGGTGCGTGCAGGGGAAAGGAAGGTATCTGGGGGGGATGTGCGATATGAAAGTGCTCTTGTTCCTTTGTACCATGGTTTGGACCTGCTCGCTGCTGAGGTCACCATGCAACAGGTGCGTGCAGGGGAAAGGTTGAACGACTTTGTGACTGTTTTTTTTTTTGTTTTAGTCATAATGTATGTGCTCTTGTTCCTTTGTACCATGGTCTGGAACTGCCCACTGCTCTGGAACTGCTACCTCTCCATGGTCACCACCATGCACCAGGTGCGCCTCTCCCTCTCGTATTCAGAGTCGAGTTAAACTTAACCATGCACCACCAGGTGCGCCTCTCCCTGTTGGATTCTTAATCAACTTAAACTTACCAAGCACCAGGTGCATACGTTAGGGAGAGGAGCACCTGGTGCATGGTTAAGTTAAGTCGACTAAGAATCCGAGTCGTCTTAAACTTATAATCATGCACCCAGATGCGTCTCTCCCTGTTGTATTCTGAGTCGACCTAAAATCCACCATGCACCAAGTGCACACAAGCCAAGGGATTACCATTGAGGGTTATGTGTGAGATTAAGTTTCCTCTCCAGAGTCGCACATGCGTTGGGCAAAAGCAGGAGAGATGAGAATGATTGAAGTTGATGTCTCAAGAAGGGATTACGATAGAATGATGTAAGACTTCATGACTAGTGTTCTCTGTAATCGTACCGTAAGTATGTGTTCCTGTTTCTTTGCACCCATCCCATCCCTCGCCCTTTGCAAGGTTGATCGCCACCATAGAAGGAATGGGGCCGCCGTCATCGCAGTAGACACCAACAAGTGATGCGCCCATTCTGTATTGACAATATTATTTCATGTTGTCCAGTATCTGGAATGTTCCGCCTATAACAATATCAAAGAAGCTTGATTCGTTCATTTTGATAGACGATTAGGTCGAGTTTATGGAGTACACGAATGACAGAGATTTCTGCTTTCTTCCTTGTAGCGCGTGAAGCGCGAGGACCTGGCCATAGAAACTCCCGAACTTTCCCTCGCACCTGACACGCTCCATACAATCACAAGCGCAGAAAGAGCCGTTGCTGGCTGGTCCAATGGGTCCAGGAGGTCGAATCACAAATCAGGATCTGTGCTTGTCTCGGGAATTCCGTCACGATCACATTGGTCATCCCTCCCACCCACCTCTAGGTCGCCAATTTCTGCTTATTTCAGTGTTTCACAC